TGTGGCTGTCACCCGAGGCAGGCAACCGACAATAATGACGGATCAACGGGTTGGACGGGAGCGTTTCCCTTATTTTTATCAGCAAAGGTACAAAACATATATCACAAAAGTTATATCATTGAAAAAATCTTTAAAAGATATGTATTTTGTAACATGTACTTGATATGTATTTCATGTGTCTACCGGTTGGATCCTTCTTATCTACGGTTATCTTCATCAACGCTGTTTGCTGTTCTGGTACGCTGGTTTTATAGAGGCTCAGCACGACGACTTCCCGACAGACTACTACAACAAGGTTTGCATGGCTTCGGTGAGAGAGAGGCGATGATGGTGCGTCTTTGGCTCATTTCAGTGCTTGTAGTCGTTGCTTGTGGTCTATGGACCTACACGTAATTTTTACTTCTGATGTTCTTCGTACTACTTGAGAGTTGATGAACTGATAGGAAGTTTTTTTTTTTTGCAAAAATAAAATAAAATAATCAATGGCCATTTTCTTTCTTAAATAGAATGGTCCTTGTATAATAAGCAGACTTATAAAAAGAGCGTCTATTTTGGTGAAGAGATGTTCTTTCATGGCACATATACAGAGTTGAGAAAATTTCCTTCCGATTTTCCAAAATACCCCTTTTGTAGCTGAAAGCCTGAAAGTGTGACCTTCTTAACCCACAAGTAAGGAACAAAGCGAAAGGCTCCTCCGCACCCAAGCTTCGGCACCAATTCTCCGCACTCTCCCCTTACCGCCGGGATGGACGTGCAGATGGGCGAGCCGCAGGCGGCCCCTCCTCCCGCCGCCGCAGCGGCGGCGCCGGCGCCGGCCCCTTCCACCATCCAACGTAAGCCCCGTCCCCCTCCCCCAAACCCTAGGTCTCTCCTCCCCGCGCCGCAGGGTGCCTCAGATTTGTTCTGACTTGCTCGTTCCCCAGATCTGAAGGAGATCGCCGCGGTGATCGAGGCGGGGTCGGTCACCAAGGAGGTCCGCCGGATCTCCCGCGCCGTCCGCCTCACCGTCGCCCTGCGCCGCCGCCTCGCCGCCCGCGACGTCTCGGCCTTCCTCGCCTTCGCCCTCCCGGCCAACAGCGACGCATACGCCCGCCTCACTCCCCTCCTCCCCAAGGTAAAGTTCTGAGCAACCAGAGTTTTGTCATGGCCCACGACTTAGTCTTCCACTGCAGTTGATTCCATGATGATACCCTCACTGCCTCCATGTAGTTGTTGCCATGCGCAATTCACAGTTTCATGTTAGCTCTGGTGGTTATCCTATAAAAGTCAGTGTTCAGTCTTAGTTTCATTTTTGCGTATGCGACGGGCACATACTCGCATGGTTTGTGTACTGTTCAGGATTCAGGGTACCAAAACCTTTTGGTAACTCGTTTTCCTGTTTTGTACTGGGTGAACAAATCCGAGGCTGGAAAAATTCTTGCTAAAATCTAAAATTTATATTTCAAACGGAGGGGCAGTAATTCCGGACTGGTCTGGATTTTTTTTGGGTGAAACTGGACCTGGAACTGATGATGGTAGCTTTTAATATGTACAGTTGCTATTCATCAGGCAACCGAAAATATTTTTTGGATCAGTCGATTTTGGAAGTGAGCAGTTCAGCAACAAGCTCGAGCCGGAACGGCGTGGCGTCACTGGCGAGGGCTCGCCAGGACCTCGCCGGAGGTGTGGACGACGCAGCTTGCGGTGCCGTTGCAGCCAGAGTGGAGGAAGGACCTCAGCTGGTTCGGTTTTTGTAAGGGGGGCGGGGGTCTAGTTGAGGGTTTGTGTTGGAGGTGGAAGAAGAGCGAGGCGTTGGATTCAGGTGCCAGAGGTGAAACAAGAACCAGAGCCATTGGATTGTACAAAATGGACTGAGAGCAAAAAAAGACACCTGACACATAGGCGCTCCCTTTTATACGTGATTATCATTTGCACACTGCATAATTAACTGTTTTACAGCTTCCTATGGCAAGTATCTTGCTGGTTTCTTCTTCTTAATAATCGTATGATTCTGATTATTTATTTATTTGCCTTCAGTTAGTAATTCTGTTTTCATTGTGTGATTAAATTCTAGTCACGTCATTTTTGCTTGTGTCATTCATTTGCAACTTTATTTCTTCTCCTTCTGCATGTGGGAGCTTGCCGTATGTTTAGATACATGGGGAAATTTGTTACTGGAGTTGTAGTAGTAGGGTGTATTTTTCCAAATCTGTGTCTCTGTTATGATGATACCCATTAAACTGATTACCAGGCTGATTGCCACTTGCCTTTTACCAGATAACTTCAGTTTTTTAAGAATGTCAGGAAGCTTGTTACATACTTAGTTAATCGGCCTTTCTATGTGAGGAGCTGAAGATGCTTTTGAAGTCCGGTCAATTTAGACTTCTGCCACCTGCTCCATAATTTAGAGAACAAAACATTTGAAGTTAGATTTGCTTTTAAAAATATTATTCTGTTATTTGAAACTCATTAATCCTGGTATGCATCTATTGTTACTTTTTAGGAAGATGAAGCTGAGATGGATATTGATGCAGCAGCTCCAGCAACTCAGATTTCTATCAAGCATGGCCTTCCTGAGATTGAAATATATTGTTCTTTGCTTGTTCTGATTTTCCTCATTGATCAGAAGAAATACGATGAGGTATGTCTAATATACTGATATGTTTTGTGCAGCATATGCAACATATTATTAAGTTAAAGTTCTCCAATTGTCTCTAGGCTAAAGCATGCGCAACTGGAAGCATTGCTCGTCTGAAGAACTTGAACAGGAGAACTGTTGATGTTTTGGCTTCTAGACTATACTTTTATTATTCGTATGTGTATGAACTTACAAACACCCTTGCTGAAATTCGTGGGTATGTCAACTTCTACATCTTCCCCTACTCTAGTATTTCCTTAGTTTCCATTTACCCTGTTTTGTAATCCATCGCTCATATTTGCTTCTCTGTACAGTAATCTCCTTGGGTTACATAGAATGGCAACTTTACATCACGATGAGCTTGGTCAGGTAGTTCTGTTTTCCTGGTTCTTGCTGATTGTGTTATGCTGTTAAATTGTGCTAATATATGGAAATGCATTGTTTTTTCATGATAACAGGAAACCCTGCTCAACCTGCTTCTCCGCAATTACCTCCACTATAACTTGTATGACCAGGCAGAGAAACTTAGGTCGAAGGCACCACGTTTTGAAGCCCATTCCAACCAGCAAGTAATTCATCTGCCTCTTCCAATCATCATCTGCACTTTATTGATTGTATCATGTTTCAGTTGCATTACACCAGTACATTTAAATATTATGAAACTAGTTTATTTGTTAGCTATTCTTTTAAAAATGCCTTACGGTTTAATGTTGCTTTGGGATGATTGATGTGTGAGATCTTCCTGCAGCCTAACTGATTTTATTGATACACTCAAGCAACTGTTAACATGTTTTAATACAGTTCTGCCGGTACCTCTTCTACTTGGGGAAAATCAGAACAATTCAGTTGGAGTACACTGATGCTAAAGAAAGCCTCCTGCAAGCTGCTAGGAAGGCACCGGCTGCAGCTCGTGGCTTTAGGATTCAGTGCAATAAATGGGCTATCATAGTAAGGCTGCTTCTTGGGGAGATCCCAGAGAGGACTGTTTTCATGCAGAAAGGAATGAAGGAAGCTTTGGCACCATATTTTGAGCTTACAAATGTAAGTTCCAGTCTTCTTTTAAATCTCATGTTACTGTCTGGAAAGCTCTAGTCATAACATTTGAATTATTGGTGTCTAGGCGGTCAGGATTGGCGATTTGGAACTGTTCAGAGCTGTTGCAGACAAATTTGCGAGCACCTTCAGTGCAGACAGGACTCACAATTTGATTGTGAGGCTTCGCCACAATGTCATTCGAACTGGACTACGCAACATCAGCATTTCATACTCGCGGATCTCTCTTGCTGATATTGCGAAGAAGCTAAGGCTAGACACTGAGAATCCTGTTGCTGATGCGGAGTGCATCGTAGCCAAGGCCATAAGAGATGGTGCAATTGATGCCACCATAGACCATGCAAATGGCTGGATGGTGTCGAAAGAAACTGGTGATGTCTACTCGACAAATGAACCCCAGGCTGCATTCAACTCCAGAATTGCTTTCTGCCTCAACATGCATAATGAAGCGGTCAAGGCCATGAGGTTCCCCCCGAATTCGCACAAGGAGAAGGAGAGCGCTGAGAAGCGCCGAGAAAGGCTCCAGCAGGAGGAAGAGCTGGCAAAGCACATGGCCGAGGAGGATGATGATGATTTTTAAGTTGGTCTGTTTTTTGAATTGTTGATTTTAGATCCCTGAAATCACTGGATTCTCCCCTCGAGGGAGAGGTTTGAATCATGTAAACTTTTTACATCTTCTGTAATTCTATGTCGATCAGCACTTCATTGGACCGTAAATGTGTTTTGGGTTTATCTTTTCTCTTCCTCATCGAAACTGGGTTCGAGGATCTCTGTACCATTTGAAATCCACCTTGTCCATTCAAGACTTTTGGTATGTCTGTGCTTCCTGACATATATTTGCCATCTATTTTTTCCCTGCCCTGTTTCTTTGCGATTATGCAGTGGTCAAGTTACCACCTTTCTCCTGTAATTGGTGGCAAATCTAACATAGTGGATCTTAATACTTGGTGCCACTCAAGAGAATATTGTGCAAATGACACGCAGTTTTCTGATGTGTAAGCTAATGTAAATCCTTCTCAAGGTGAACGAATTTCACACGTTTATTTAGCACTAAAAACTCTAGCGACTCAAATGTAGAAGCAGTATCAAGTTACTTACACAAGCTGAATCTACAGCTCTGGAATTATTATGAAATATCCATCTTTTTTAACTACATGCAGTAGTATACTATGTTACACAAGCTGAATCTACAGCTCTGGAATTATTATGAAATATCCATCTTTTTAAACTAAGCATAACACCATTAGCAATACAAGTTTACAGTGAGAGTCTAGCCTCCTTAGTGAGGCAAGCAGAGTATGTATGAGCCAGCCTAGCTAGCAGCAGTAACTTAGAAGAAGGCTCTGCTTCCATAGAAGACCCTAGGACCCTTCGACGACGGCGATGGCAACGGCTTCTCTGTTGCACTCGAGTCGATGTTATCAGCCGAGGGACTACCGTTCTCGACATCCAGCGGGAGCTTCATCTTCGCAAGGGAGTCAGTGAACTGCTGCATGCTCTTCATGTACATGTCAACTATGTCCTGCTGGACAACCGATTCCCTGGGCTGGAGGTTCACGCTGATCACTGCAGGCTGGGCAACCTCATCCTTGGATGGCGCCTCAGAAGAATCGGCCTCGCCATCCGTAGTGACACCCTGGCTCTTCTCCCTCTGGCTTCCGGTGGAGGATGCCGCCGCGACGGCGGTCTCGGACGGCTCAGAGACCGATTGCAGCGTGCCAGAGAGCTCCGGGGAGGAGCCCGTGGTCGAGACACAGCTCACAGGGCTTTCGTCAGGATACTCCTTGGGATTGATTTTGGAGACCTCAGGACCAGGCTCATCTGCATCATGCTGTGGTAACTTGCAGTTCTCAGCCTTCACTGCACTCTCACAGTCCATCTCGAAATACTTGGAGACCATCATTTCATTCTCGTTCACCATGTTCAAGTCTGGGAACTCCATCCTTTCAATCTCACAAGGATCCAAGCTGCCATATCCACTGTCGGTGACCGCCGACGCCGACTTATTGAGCGATGAGATCTCGATGACATCCGGGGAGCTGCCGACATAAGACAAGGACAGGTGCACAAACCCGGCCGGTGAGTGGAGCAGGTCGGAGGACGACATGGAGAACTCCTGGGCCAGATTTCCATCGGCCAGAAGGATGTCTGACAGAGGAACGAGGGTGAAGCCGAGAAGCTGGTCCTCCAGGTAGTTCTTCACCCTGCTCAGCATCCACACCTCGCACCTCAGCGACGCCTCCGTGCTGCGCACGTCTAGCCGTAGACCCTCGTCGAACACCGGGTTCTGGCCGCCCCCATTGATCACCTTGGTCGAGCACGACACCTGTGGGTCGCTTGTGAGGCTCAGCTTTGCATACACGTCCTGCTTCTGGTAGATGCAAACATTGTGGATGTCGCGCGCCTGGTGGACGAAGATGTCCAGGTAGCCTATGGACTTGTCCCTGCCGGCTGTCTCGGTAGCAGAGCTGTCGAGTCTTTGAGTAATAGCATAGTTGTTCAGCACCGGTGGATCAGGCATAGGGTATGTTGCTGCCATTGTAGGTATCCCAAGACTGCAATTAACACACACAAGGAAATATTTTCTTCAGTGCTGAAGTATAAGACAAAATATTGTGTGAACCAAGACAGCAAATTGCAGCTGAAGCTAAGCAGAATGGACACGAGACAGTGACAGTAATAATTAGCTAAAACAATTGGACTTTAAATAAGGAGGAGTCTTTATCCTATGGTGGTAAACATATTTAATCATGTTGTATTGCAAGGCAAGCTACTTCAAATTCAGGCCAAAAGGATCAATACAAAGATAGAAATGAACCCTGACTAAAGGAGGCTGAAGGTCAAGGAATTCAGACTCACTATCCGAAGAGCTTTTGGCCCAAAGATATCTCCAACTGCCGCAAAATCGGAAGCTTTGGTGGTCCGAGGAAACCGTTAGGGATTTTCTCTGAAAGCAAGAAGAGCACTCAAAAAGGTTAGGAACACAAATTCAGACTTGAAACGAAGTTCAGTCCGCGATTTGATCTCCTTCACCTCTCTATTAAGCACAGCCGGCACAAATTTGGTGCTTCACCACAGCGTGTAAACGGAGATTTACGCAGCGCATACCGCAAAAATCACACGAAAAGCGGCAGCAAGAACGGCAGTAGTGCACAGACAGATTAAACATCACATGCTACAAATGTTGAGATTCAGGCGCATACTGGCATACAGATACAGCAATGCCACACAAGCAATTTCGGCAAAGGAGCAGCCGACATCTTAGCACCAGTAACCGTAAATAGCACCAATAACCCAGCCCGGCTAAAAAAACCCTACCGCCCAAACAAGTACGAGGTGATCCGTGCCCAAATCAAGAACAGACAGAGACAGAACTACTGACACAAGACATGGAGGTTTGGCAGGCTGACCTCCGACCAGGCGCCGGTGGCCTACTACTACTACTGCTACTGCTACTGAAGAAGCATCATGAGCTAACAGGGAGTGGAGATCAACGGTTTTAGACCGGAAATCGCAGGCAGGGATGGTGCTAATTACCTCCTTCGCCGAGGATCAGTGGGGCGATCTGAGCTGAGCGCTGAGGCGAGTCGCGCTCGAGGCGCAGGAGTGTGAGCTGGGCGGCCGGGCGAGGGATGGGATCAGGGGAGGGGAAAGGTAAATTACTACTAGCATGAAAGGGCGCTGCTTTTGCAGAAAAGGGCTCCTGTTCTCCGAAAAATGCATTTGTTAGGCATTTGTTGGCACAAGGTTTTTTTCTTTCGGCCAATGTGGCTGGCGTTTGTTGGCACTTTGGACGGGGTCGTCGGGAATGAGCTGATTTAGACAGGAGGTGCTTGCAGGCTTGGAGGCCATCTATCTATCTCTTGTCAACTCCGTTCGTACGCTCAATTAGCAGGGCCGTTCCTGAGATTTCGGGGGCCTGAGGCAAGACGGCTTAAAGGGGCCATAAGGCCACATTTTTCTCTATTTCAATTTGCAACTAAATTCTCGATGCGCTATAATTTGTGTTGCCTTGTCATGTTGACTATCCAACAAATAAAGGTCATAAGCATTCACAGAAAAATTGGTTGCTTTTCTCAATTGGCAATTATATTTTTTTATTAGGTTTGTGCCTACTCTAGTATTATCATCCTATTCTCACTGGATTGTTCTTCAACAGTAACAAAAGGCATTTTTCAGAATTTCTAGTAGAAGTACTTGCATCAGTTGTTTAAAAATGTCAATATCTCCTTTCTGAAAATCAATCAACTCATATGCAACTTTATTTTATTTACTCATTACCAGATGGATACATTCTAAATAACATCTTGATAATTGCCACACATACAAATGAAACAATAAATTAAAAACCCTGTTAATAAAATAAAAAATTGCTAACAAAGGCTCGGAACAAGGTACCTGGAGGGTAGAAGATTAAAAATTGCAAGATTTTGCTGCTTCTTATTAGTCACGACCAAAAATCCGAGCTCCTCTCTTCTAATCCCAAACAACAGAAGAAATCGGAGTGTGAGAAAGAGATATGTACGGTGATGATCTTCATCTTCATTTTTCGAAAAGGATGGATCTTCATCTTCATAAAACGAATGAACGACCTGTAAAGACTACAGAAAAAGAGGGATCTGCGTTGAAGAGGAGTTTGATTGAAATCTGAAAAATCTGTACTCGGGGTTAATTTCTTCTTCGACAGGAAATCTGAAAAGAGGAACTTCCACTAATCACGGACAGTAGCAGAAAAATCACGAATAGAAGATACGGGCGGGGGAGCAGTAGACCTTGGGGCGGATTAGTTGCCAAGTGGGGAAGCGGAGTAGAAGCAGAAGATTGCGCCTCGTACGGCAAGCCGAGAAAATTGTGATTTGTTACCTTTTTCCCGTTTCTTTAGAATCTGTCTACACATGGGCTAATATCACGTATATATGGAAAGCAAGCCATCGGGGGCCCCTTCGTACTCGAGGGCCCGGGGCGGCCGCCCCTCCCGCCCCCCTCAGGACCGGCCCTGTCAATTAGTCACGGGGTGGGCCAAGTTCGTGTCGTTCCTGTTATAGAGTGAAAGTAAAATAGACACATGAAGAGTCCAAATGATCCACTAGTTCCATTGCAATGTGGGAGACCCACTTATATACATGGTGAAGGGGTGTGTTGGGGAGACACCTCTTCCCCAACAGACACCTCCTGGGAGGCATCCCTCCCATACAATTGATCACATGTTTTTATTTCTCAACACTCCCCCTTGATCAATTCGTCATATGTATATTGCAAACTGAAAACTCCTCCAAAAACCCTGTGGGAAAAATTGAGGTGAAACCTTACAATAATATGCCATCGAAAACTCCTTTAAAACCCAGTGGGAAAAAAGGAGAAACCAATATGGCATATATCCGCACTTGTATTTATATTGTTTCGTTAAAAACCTTATATGAGAAACCATCATGGAAAACTCATAAAGGGAAAAATAGTACAATATCGGTGATTTGAGGATCACCAACGGGTTATAACTTGGGATTTTACTCCCCCCGAACTTTGCAAACCTCAAGAATATCTCATACCAATTCCATGAACCTAGTTCTGGAATGTAAACATTGATAGAGATATTGTGAATATCACAATAATCTGTTTGCATATTATCCTCTTACATTTCTGTAATTCACAAGGATAAATATAACCCATAAGCAATACAAGTGACTATCTTGGTAGATAATGATAATCTCCACATGATTTCACATGTGGCCAATCATTCTATGAAGTCATCCACATTTTCCGATGCTTCAAATGAAATAGAATGTTCACTGGAAGGACTCGTTTAGAGTCTATTCTGAATACTTCCTTCAAAGTACTCTTCCAGCAAACCCAGTCTTTGATATATCATTGTGGGATCAGATAATTAGCCACTATCAATATATCAAACCATGGTCCCATCTTGATTTTTCGAATGAAATTGATCAAGACCCTTCGTGCCCTGGATATATCCCAGGATATTCCTTACACAAACCTTATACCTTTTAGGGAATTGCACTCTCAATAAATTGCCAAAAACTATAGTGTCAGGCCTGACATATTTTGCAAGATATATGAGTGCTTTGATGGTATTTAGATATGGCAATTCATGCTCCTCTATCACTTCACCATCTCCCCTATGTATCAAGGATCTATATCCCATATTAGGTATAACATGACCATATGTGTCTTTGATATAATATATCCATATTGAACTTCTCCAATACTTTCGGATATATGAAGACTGATATCTTAGGGGGATGTGCTCAAGTCATAAGCTTAGCATAATTTGGTTTAACCCAAATATCCGTCTTAACATGATTGTGTGTATTTCATGTCTTATATAGACTTTGATGATAAGATCATCGACACCACAAATTAAGGTGATGTAAAATCCAACCCAGGATTTCTTCATGAATACACGTCAACAATCATTAGTATGAGAGTAATCCTTGTCAAGGAATAACTCACTTAGTCGGTTGCACCACACAAATCTCCGACTACTTCAAGTCATAGAATGACTTTAGAAGTTCCACACATGCATGTTGCGATTTACCTTTGGATTCAGACTATCAAGTCATTCAATGACTTCAATATATACATCCAAACTAATTGACCCATGGAGTATGTTGGCATTACATACATCAATCGTATGGATCTGTACTGCCATTAACATTCAGTATCGAAACATAATTCCACTTATACCAAAAAGGTATGCTACATCGTAATTGATGTCGGATCTCTGCGAAAAACCCTTGTGCTATAAGCCTCGCTTTCTCACCACCTCATTTATTTTCGTTTCCAAACGAAAATTCACTTCTCTTCCCTCTAGAAGATACATATGAGGAGCAGGTTTTACAATGGTAAATACCGCTCTTTTGATGAGCGAGTGCCACTCTTCCTTAATTGCTTCCTTTCATTTGAACCAATATAAGTGCAGACAACACTTTCCATGGATTTTGGCTCAGGGCCCAAAAGGATTCTAGCAATTCTCAAGAAGAATTTTATGTCGACATATGTAGACTTTCTCATATATGATTCTCATGAATCAATATCATTGTGGAATTCTTACTACGCCTCTTAACTCCTTGTGATTTCCCACAACAACGGAGTCAAGGTGTTTCGATTTCCCAACACCTAAAAATGTGTGCACATATGTGTTGGACTTTGGATGCCGCGCATCCCTCAGGTGTCATTCAACCCGAGGTTGAATCATATTTACTGATCGAGGAGTCAATCTCACATGTTTCCGCTGAAACATATGAGAACTTAATCTCATGCGACCAGAATTCTCCCCCTCTTGCTCTCATCTAGGGAGATGAGAGGTTTATTAGGTAGCTCCACTCATTCTGGTACTTGACCATATTGACACCTTTGTCATCAGTAAATATACTTGGCAGATTATTTGCAGTATGCTGCAAATTTCTCATAACCTGAACATGCAGTTCAGATTCTTAAGTACGTGGACAAAATGTCTATGTCATTTCTTATCCATTTCCTGGCATTCTTTGTGGTACACATCTCCCCCTAATGCCAGAAAATGTT